CAGGGAAATGCTACCTGGCACTGGAGCCTGTTGGACATGGTGACAAGCAGTTGTGCAAGGGATAGAGAGGGAGTCTTGTGAGTTTGGTGGTTTTCTTGGTCTTCATGTATGGGCTGTGTATCTCCTGGTAGCAGGCTAGGAAAAGAATGATCAGTTTAGTGTCATTGCTAAAGGGGAAAAAAAAATCTGGCTTTCAGTATAATTTTTTTCTTAATAATTTAATCTACAAAGAAACCTATCTGTGTGCTCCATAAACTCTTCAAGGCCTGGCCAGTTGTGAAGCAAAGTAATCAGGAATTTGTAACAGGTTTCTAATTCTGCAACAAATTCCCAGTGTAGGCACCACTGGTACAAAGTAACTGTACTGTGTTGAATCACAGTTATAAAACAGAGACGCTGTGATTTTTTTTTTCCTTGAATGAATTAATCAGCAAAGCTCCTATTAGCTGAACCATAACATTTAAACACATAAACTGGGCAGACCAAATCCATGTTCAGAATTTTGTTACAATAGGCCCATTTTGGTGAAGTATAATATATATGTATTTTGCTGCTTTGTGTGGCTGTCTTCCAAAATGGCTGTAGGTGACAAAGAGCTACTTACTATATTATCTTCTTGCATTGTGTGGTAAATGAAAGAGACATCTAATATAATGGTTTTTATCAGGAAAATTGCTAAATCAAACTATATACCCTGGATATTTTTGGAAATATTTTGTTACAGGCTTGGAATCTAAGCTATGATGATACGGATGATATTTGGAAATTAAAGCTCATTACATCTGTTTTCACCACAGGAGGAGAGACCACATCCTGTTAAATGTCATATGACTAACTTACTTTTCACAAATAACATCTTAATTGCAATTTCTAAATACTTTTCCATAATGGTGTGTGATGAAGTAGCAATTTCTTGGTTAAGCTTGTGGGTTACATACATTGTTTCTTGGTTGTGCTTATGTTAATTCAGGATTGGAGAATGGGTTAGATTGAATGTATACCTGCTGTGTGGAAAAGAATATTGCGGGGCAAATCAAATCTCAGTGTTTTGATTTTGATGGTGAATGTTTGGTTTTTTAAAATGTTTTCTCAGGAAAGATTGAATCTTGGATTCTGGTCACTGAATAGAAATCCAGATTGCAAAATTTCTGTTGAGTGTTTTCTGATGACTGCAAAAGTCAGTCTTGAAAATATAGGAGGATTTGGTTAAATATGTTTAGATTACAGAAATTGGTTGATTTTGCTAGTAATTCATGGAAAAAGTAGTACTTCAAGACTGAAGACTGCAGCAGTTACATTTATTGGGGGCAAGGGGGTAGGTGGGTCTTGGTTTTCCCCTTATCAAGAAGAGGAAGGAAATTCACTGAGAGAGATCAAAAATTGTTATCTAATCATTTTACTTGAAAAGCAATGACTTAGTCACAAGGTTTGTAGTTTATATATCCTTTTTTTTTTGACAGTACCTTGACCCTGAGGACTTTGATGTATACTACTGCATACTTACCTTTCTGTCATTTTATCTTTTAAATTGAAATTGGAAAATGTTATAAGTTACAAATAACAATGGCAAGCATAGGGGGAAGTTTCCCATCAAGCAAAGCCAACCTAATGGCTCGTTACTGCTGAAAGTGATGCTGCTGCCATGCTTTACTGGTGGTGTAACTCTTCCATCTCTTGTAGCATCAGCTTGGTTTTGCTAATCTCACCATCAGCTGTTAATAGAATCTGTGGAGGCAGTAGAGATGAATGTAGCCTCATTTAAGTAGTTGTTATCTCTGCCAAAATATAGTGTTTACACCAGTACCAGGTAGGGAATGGCACTGCAGTCTGGGAAGTCGGTCAGGCTGAAATGTTTACCACTTCTTCTTTTTTTTTCCTTAGAAATTTTTTACAGTATAACAAAATAGAGAAATGGTACTTCAGAGACTATCTCTTACCCCCCAGTCCCCACTCTTCTATTACAGATGCCTTTAATATTAGGTTGGATTGTCTTTTTGGTGTTTGGGGAGTTGTTTTGATTTTTTGTTTTTTCTCTCTCATGTCGAGCATTCTGGTGTTAGGGGAGCTGGTTTTAGGGATATTTTGTTTCTCATCCTAAACTGTTTCTGAATACCGTGGGCTTTCCTTGCATACTGTATAATGTATGCATGCTTTTCAACATAGCTTTACCTTCTTCCTTCTTTGGGATTTCAGAATCAGGATGAAGGGAACTGGTAATCTGTGAAGCATTCCGGAATCTGTGTGAGGTTAATGACTGAGGATGAATGGAAATGAGGGGAAGGGCTAGCTGGGATGTGCAGGACAAGGCTGGTCCTGGACAGCAGCAGCCAAAATGCTGCTTTGGTGGGTAATTTCCTATTTTTGTAGGTAATTTTTAGGAAGTCTTTATTTGGGTTGTGTTAGTGGGGTTTTTATTGTTGTTGTTGTGTTGTTTTTTTTGAGTTTTCTTTGCTCAGTGAGTTGGCTTTCAGTTAGGAAGAGCTCTTTTCAATAGAAATGTTGAGGCAGTGTTGCTGAGTGTAGTTAGGACTGCTCACTTTTACTGTTGTTATAAGTTTTTTATATGTTTGTGCTGGCCTGCCACACAAAATAAATGCCTTTGTGTGTTTACTGAAGTAAAATAGTTTCTACACAGCAAACTGGAAAAAGGATGATAAGTTGGTTCATTTAAGAGGCCATGTAACATGCTCAGCAGTATTTAGGTCTTCTCTGATTTCATCTGAATTCTCCACTACAAATATTTGTGTGCCAGGAACACCAGTGAGTGTTGGTTTCAGCAAGTGGTGCTGATCCTAAGAGCAGTCCCTAAAGTAGCCACTGTGATAGGAGACTGATGGCCAGCAGGGCAGCTGTTGCATTGAAGGACCCTGAAAACTGTGGAGGGTGAAATTATGGCAGCTCAGTGGCACCATCAGGGATAACACTTTGCTCCAGGAAGGACTTGAAAGTTGACCTCCCCACCCAACAAGGTTGATTTTTGCTCATCTTCTGCACTCTAAATGTGGCAGCATTTACATATTTATTAGAATTGCAGACAGCCTGGGGTAAGCATCAGCTGAAGGGTGCTGGTGGAAGTGTTGGTGCTTGTCTATCAGTTGCAAGGGATTTCAGCACTCCAATTCTTACACAATTTTTGGCTTTTCAGGAGATCAGTGTGAGTTTGCTTAGATGCAATGTACATAGTAACTAATGGTGACCTCAGGCAGCCAATCTACTCAGAGAAGTGAAACCAGGAGGTGCCTTTCCTTTTAGTCAGGTTTGGGTTTTTTTGTTAGGTTTTTTTTTTCCCCTCTCTATTCTCACATAGTAGTTAGGTCCAGTGCGGGATCCACTTTAGGTCTTATAGCCATGATTGGCATAATAAAGGCCAGAAAGGTCTCTAAACAAATGGTCACTAAAAGAAAATCCCCGTGAATGTAAGCAGTGAAAAGGTTAAGCCAGGCTTTCCTATGTTTCATGGAGCATGTGCCAGGACAGTTAGTTAAACTAGGATCTTACGTGCTGCTAGAAAACCCATTTACTACAGACATCTTTAAAGATCTCTTTGAGATCTCCTCATTCCTTCTCCAGATGTTGCACAACTTGAGATGACAGTTTTACCATATTGGGCAAAGGAGTGGTTAGGTTTTGTTTTGAGCATCTGAGATGTGAGCAGTGGGTGGACTGGTCACTGTTTTGGCATCCCAAGTGGTGGAATGCATATGTGGACAACCAGATCACTCAGAGGAAGAGGAGAGTTTGCTGACATCCTTATCCACATTCCAAGGCATGCACATCTTCACTGCTGTGCCAGAAGGAAAAGTGAGGGTAGTTGATAATCTACCATTTTTAGGGACAAAGCCTGAGGGACTTCTGCTGCCTGCATCCCCCTGTATGGTCAGTGAATTCCTCTGAGTTTGGGTATATGAGGTACCTGCACAGCTACAGTGCTGCAGATGATGCAGCCTAGGAAAGTTTCAGTGGTTTGGTACTCAGGCTTAAGTCCTGGTCTGTTTTGTTTGGTTGTTCTTTTTCCACACAAGTATTCAAGAATATGCATTCATGGTATGTGGCTTGTCCATACTAGTGAAATATAAAAGACAAATGTGTGTTGCTGCATTGCTCAGAAGCAATGTGTTGATTTATATTGCTTAAGGAAATAACCTAAATTTTTTTTTCTACTTCTTGGGGTAGGGGCCAGAAATATTTTACCACACTTGGAAAATTCCCCTGGATGACAGCAATAAAACTAATCAGAGGAGATTATTCATGTCAAAGTGGTTAATGTGGTTGTCTCACCACTTTATTTGTTTGAGAGACTATTTGACTTGTAAAAAGATTCTTACAAACAATTTTATTGGGTGCTCACAATTTTATTGGGCACTTGTCCATTTGTTTCTCAGGATCATTGATGGTTTATCGTGTTCTTTCTTAAGTGCCATTTTTAGTGCAATCTGGTTCCTTCATATCCCATTTTAAGACTTATATGGTAACCAGATTGTCTGTTCGTGTGTACATATGTGCTGTGTAGAGAACTGGCCTAATTATACAGAGAAGTTCTTGACAGTGGTTATTCTGATAATTACAGGTATTAAAACCTGGATATATTAGAGTGCTTTAGTCTTATTTAAAGTTCATAGTGATTATACAAGCTTTTTTTAGAAATTTGCTTTTATTTGTCCTAAAAAATATAAAAAGGTCATAAATACCATCTCTTAAATATATAAAAACATAAGTTATACAACAATTTTTCTGGGTTCTGATATTTTTTTTTATGAATACATATTAAATAAGTGTATCTGAATAGTACCATTAGAAAGGAAATAAAATACATAATTTAAATTATTTCTAAATATTGAAAATATAAATAAGAAATATTAGAAACTAATAAATATTTTAAATACAATAAATAAGTTCCTAGAAGGAAATGGGAATGTATGTAGATGCAAACCATTGTTACTATTTCTAGTTCTTAAAACAGAACAACACTGTTATCTGCCACCTGACAGATTTGTAACAAAAGGATTGTGCCTGAACTAAAACATTCAAACACTGAAACTCCTGGTGTTTTTCAAATAGCGTACGGCCCTCACTGTCTTCTCCATAAATGAAGTAAAATCTCGGAGGATGAGATGGATGGTGATTTTCTCTGTCCAGGCCTTAATGGACTTCAGCTTTGTGTGGAGGGATTCCTGGGTAGCTGCATCTGGGATGATCACTTCTTCGGGATTGATCACCTGTGAAAAAGACAATATTGGGAGGGCCTTGGTTAAAACACTGAGCCTGTTGGAGAGCATCAGTTTGTATGTTCCCAACCTGCTGCATATCCACTCTTTCTGCACTGCAGACAGCAGCCCTCCCTGGCACCTGTGCTTTCCTCCAGCGCTGTTTCTGTGGAGAGGTGTGAGGAACGCTGATGCCTGATATGATCGCTGTGTAGGAATCTCTGGGCTATACTGTTTGTTCTGGTTTGGATGCAGCCTCTGGTATCGAGGTCCGACATGCTCTGAGCAGATCGATACACCCCTCCTGCTCTGGCAGTCACGTGGCTGGTTAGGTAGGGAGGAGCTGATCATGGTTTGTCCTAACCTGTCCTGCTCCATCCTGAGTCATAAGTTAATTGGCTGACATTCTCTCACATTTTGTAGCAGATTAACAAGTTTCCAAAGATGTCAAACTTGTTTAGCTGCTTAATTCTTACTTTCCAGGCATTTAGTCACATGTGAGACTAAGTTCCACCAACTTTCACTGATATGTGAGAGCATAACTACAAGATGAGTAAAAGTTATTTATCTAATGCTGACTCACATCCCTATGCACCCAGTACCTAAAGGCCTTTGAAGAACTTGTCCCAGGAAGTGGGACTTCTGAAAATGGGAGTTACACACTCAAATCATGGAGCTGTTTTAGGTCATTTGGAGTCCAAAGTTCTAGCAGGCATCTGCTTAATCCTGTGTTTAGGACCTCTCCTACCCTTTAACTAGTGACAAAAGATGCAAACCTTGTGGAACATCTTTTTTTGCGAAATATAAGAGAGAAATATTCTTCCTATCCAGGCTACTTGGGAGTCTGTTCTGATCACAGCCCCTTTTCCTGGTATGCCCAGTTCCTTGTTGTGCTGTGGTAAAGTCTGTATCTGGATATCTAGACAGGTATCATGCTGGTGGATCTATTTAACCACAAGTGATAGATTCTGGCTTTGCCTTAGCAGATTTTTCTCTCTCAAAGAAAAACTTCCAACCTGAAGATCAAGGCTTTTTCTCAAAAACTCCATAGTTTCTACAAGTGCAGATTTTGCTTTTGATCACTGTGTTTAATTCTGCCTGTTTTAATTACCTTGGTCAAAAAAAAAAAAAAAGCAAAATCCAAAGCCCCAAACCCAACCCAAAGAACCCAGTCTCTCTCAGTTATGAAGCAAACTTTCTGCAAACTTGTGTATCAAGCTGGAAGCCAGTACTCAGTTGCTGTCTTATGACAGGACTATTATTCTCAGCTAGCACAGTGTGAAAAAAAAGCAGTTCAGCTTCCTTTCACATAAAGAATGATGGGCATAAGTAAATAAGTTAGGAAAGGTATGGCAAACAACACAAGCACACAATGCACAATAGGCTTTTCACATGCTGAAAATTGCCTGGAAGGAAATAATGCCCCAAGACTTCTGCAGTCCTTACCTGAGTGATTTTTAATCAGGCAAATGGTTTCCCCAAAGACAAAAGGTAGTGTTTGTATTAAGGTTTATTAAAATGAGCAAGAACTACAGGAATTGAGTTTTTTGAAGTGTGATCTTTCAAAGCTCTCCAAAACATGAAAGATTTTTTACAAGCAAAATATGTGTTTTTCAGTAGGTATATTGACAGCAATATCTCAATATACCATACAGTGTTAATTTGCCATACTAACCATGGCTTAAAAGTTTGGTTTGGAGAGTTTTAAAGATAAATAATATTGTAAAAATACGCTTGGCTTTTTCTTTTCTTTTTAATGTGGGCTTTTAAGAAAAGTTGCTGACTTCTCAATGGGTTCCAACATTAGCATGGGCTGAATTACAGTTCCGCAATTAGAAGCAAGCTCCCTGAAAAATCCTATTTCTATCATCCAGTTTAATATGTTTGTTCTTAAAACAATGATGCATTTATTTGGTTTGGAAATTATAAGTAACAGTAGGAGGAAGAGTTGTTTCTTTAAGAAAGGAAAGTAAAACTTTGTAAAACCTCTTAAGTCATAAGGGTAAGATCTGAGCATAAGGAACCGTCACCTGTTTTTTCAAGGAACTGAAACATAGCATCCTCTATTTCACATAGCATCCTCTATTACTGACTTCACATCAGTATTACGACACAAAAATTATCAGAGTGAATTTAAAACCAACTCACCATCTGTCTTAGGGTACGTGCCAGGTGCTCTGTACTATAGGATAGCGATTCAACATTTTGGTTTTCACTAATAAAAGTTTCTTGTATGTATTTGAGGTATGTCTGAAATGTATAAAGCCCACTGGAGATTTTTCTCAAGCATTTATCCTGAAATGAGAGAAAGGTGAGAAAGTCACTTAAGAGTTCAAAATGCCTTGATATCAGTGCTGTGTGCAGGTTAGCAGATGATGCTTATAGAGTGTGGAGGTCCGGCTAGAGCCGACACAAATCTTTAGGTCAACTTCCACAGTTCTTTTGGGGAGGCAAAACCTGCCCCAGGTATACAGGATTAAACCAGAAAGGAGCGCGGTTCCTTGCCTCATTAAAGCCGGCGAGCAGACACCCATCTTCCTCCGTCACCTTGGGGAGGTTGAGGTTGTTGTGGAGGAGCATTTCCATGCTATTCTGGCAGACGGTAAACTTCTCGCACATCTGGGGAGAGACACGGAGAGGTTTGTTCGCGCCGGACCGGGCGTGTGAGCGTGTGCGAGCCCGCGGTGCGGCCGTACCCACCTCGTCCCGCAGCTGTGCCGCCCGGGCGTGCAGCAGCCGCGCCAGCCGCAGGCTGTCGGGCAGCGCCGCCCGCCTCTCCGCCGCCTCCTCCAGCTCGGCCTCCCCCGAGGAGTCTGCGTTGGACAGCGGGGCGGCGGCGGCCCGCGGCACCAGCAGCACCAGCAGCAGCGGCAGCAGCGGCTGCAGCAGCGCGGCGCCGAGGGCGGGCGGCCGGCGGCGGCCGGGGCGGGCACGGTCGCAGACACAGTCCCGGGAAAACTTCATGGTGCGGCTTCTTCTCTGCTCCGGCCCCGGCCCCTTCTCGTCGGCGAGGCTGGCGGGTTGAATGAGCTCCGGGCATCCCTGAACGTGTATTTATTGAGGGGGCTTCGAGATTATTCATGGCCTGGGAAAATCCGGCATGAGAACACGGGGGGTGTGTGCTCACGGAGCGCGCCCGGCTTGACAGGGCTGCTCGAGAGCCGGGATTGTGAAACGGGCCGGGGGGGGCAGCCGAAAGCGGCCGGTGGGAACATGAAGTAATCGTGCTCCGTAACTCCTTGAGGGCCGGACTGCCCCCCGCAGCCACCGCCGGCTCACCTGGCCCGCGGGGTCCCGGCCGGGGCTGCAGCCCCCCCGGTCCGGCTTCCTCCGAACCTGCCAACTCCAGCCCCACGGAAACTCCTGGAAACCATCCATGCGTACCTACGTATATACGTATACACATACTCCATGTATCTATATTCTTCCGTGTATCTTAATATTGTAATGTAGTTGGATGATTTATGGATTTTGTATGATGTATCTTTATCTCTATATTTTAGCTATTTTTATTGTTTGTATATGTGAAACTAAACGCCCCTGTTTAGGTGCTGGGTAGTACAAGTCACAAGTTGCCTCTTTCTGAGTGAACTACGTGTGGGTAGGATTAAATATATCAAGTGCTTTAAATGGACCAAAGCCAGCTCCTGCGAGAGGGTGGCTTCAGGAAATGCCACAAAGTTCCCTGTTATCTGCTGCCTTATCTCTTTCTGCCTACCTGGTAGCTGTTGCAGGAATTTTAACCTTTCAGGGGGACTCTTCACCCAGGGCAAGTGTGCCTGTTGAGATCAATCTTGTAGAATGCAGGCTGTCAGAGTCAAACTGTGTAAGGCATGCTGACATTGAACTTGTGGAATGTCTTGAACTGATTTTGGCCAAACTGCATTTTAATTTTTTTGAAATTTGAAATCGGTTATGTTTTCTCACAAACGGAAGACACAAAAGAAAGAGTCTGCATTGGAAACTGCTAACAGAAGGGTACAGAGTGGGGAGAACAAAACGTGGGGAACAGGAGAAGTGTTGAAGTGTTAGAGACAATACAGAAACTGAAAAATACCCCAGACACTTCTACTTCATTTTCTAAGAACAGCCTGAAAAGAGAACCTCAGGAAAGAAGCAGGGTACTACTGTTTTTTATTTAATGTCTCTCTCTGCCAGTAACAGAAAAACAGCTGTGGTAATTTTGCCCAGTGGAGAGATATTAGAGCTGGAATGCAAGTGTGACAGCAGTTTTCAACAGCAGCAATCCGTCTCTGCCCAGGTCCCTGAGTGCAGCAGGGGAGATATTGCCAAAACAGTATCTGCTGTAATGTCGGGTCTGCGGTGTTAGGTATAGAAGAAAGCAGGCCACTAGCAGTACGTTTGGCTATTATCAATGAAAAATCCAACTGAAATGTGCTAAGGGATTAAAATAGCCAGGCCAGATGAGCTCAAAGCCTGGTATTTGCTTTTGGAGAACCATCAGAGGCAGATACATGAGGGAGGGAACTCCTGCCTACTTCTTTTTCCACTTGCGATAGCACATAGATGTACATGTCTCAGGGATTTCCTTCCGCTGCCAGGCGACTCATAGGCTGTTCCCTGCAGACAGTCAAACTTTTCCTTTACCTAACCCAAGTGAAAATACTATTCTTAAAATGATGAAAACTTGGTAGAAGGCTGTGTTTCCTTAATAATATCTTTTCAGCAAGCATTCTGTAATTTAGTCTTGTCTGTAGCTGTGTAATTTTTAATTTTGTAAATTTATTTTTTGAGTTGTCATATTCTCATTGTGTCATGAAAGTCTCTGTTCCTTAGAAAATTTCAGAGAACATTTTTATGCTGATCACTGTTATACAGTCCTGCTGATGTGTGTAGTTGCATCTGCAGAGTGAAATAAAAGAAAGTTTCAACTGATCCTCAATCTAAAAGATTCTAAAAGTATCTAAGCCTTCAGTTACTGTTATCTCATTTTGGGGTTTTGTTTACTTTATTATATGAATGTCCATGTGACTTTTCAGAATTACAAAGTATGCTTACATGCTCCAGTGAAAGGTGCTAATTAATGGCTTAGAAACTCCGTTTGATAATCTAGGACAAAGCATAGCATTCAAAGGAAAAAGGAACTGGAATTTGCACAATAGCATTAGAATACTTCTATTAGTTTGGACAGTTTCTTATGGAAAATCACTTATTTAATTGGTCCTGTACACAGAAGAAATACTTTTGCACTGATCTATCAATAATAACGGTTAAATTTTTGGGAGGGCTTAAAGAGGTCCGCACTGTATTACTAATTAGTCTGTACTGTACTACACTGAATTACACTGACTCATCAGTTGTCACGTTGTTCAAAATTCAGTAAGCCCCAAACAAGCAGCACTCGCTCATGAGTTACCTACAGATCAGGAGATCTGCCTGGTACTTAAAATGTAGGAGTATTAGTACTGAGACTCTAACTCATAGTCTTTGGATGCCAAGGAATTTCTTTCCTGCATGTCATCTTTGTAATACTGCAGATTACTGTTCCTGTATCCTTTTATTTCTATTGCTGTACAAATTTTTTCTTTTTCTTTTCATTTATACTGTCAACAAGATGGCTGCATTCTTTCTAAGGTGGGATTTCAGAAATTCTTAGTGTTTAACCAACTTTTTCTTCTGTCTGTGACATGAGCACATTTCTGTAAGAACAGAGGGACCATTTCTGAACATTGTAAAAAATCTCTCCGACTGTCATGCATGAAAATTATTCCTGTCTATTTATAGCCAATCCAGCATGACCCCATGTGTGGTTTCTATTAGGATCAATGTGCAACTCACTGACCCATTCTGGAAAAGATTCTCTTTCTTCTAGAGCTGCTCTGCCTGGGAGTAAACTTGTGCCACTTTTGCTCTTGGTAGCCTGGGAGATCTGTTTTCAGGAGAGGTGGGTGACACCAACCTGGAAATGCTCTTGCCACTGAAGAGTTCAACAAACTGCAGAGCTGTCATGGGCAAAGCTTGTCTTGCCTCTTCTGTCAGATATCAGGCATGTCTACAAGGAGGCCCTACCATGTGGATTTTGCCAGGGCAAAATCCAGTGCCATTGGCAGCAGCAGGGGACCTTGCTTGCCAAGTGTTGTGAGTCAACATAAATGTCATTCCTAGATGGAAAAATAAAGTCATTCAATGAAGTAGAATTACCAGGGTTGCAGTAAGTTTCACTCCGATCTGTGAGTTTGGTTTGACTGTCTTTTTCTTTCTAATAATCTCCACTATTTTACAGTAGTAAGAAAACCAGTAATTTGGGGATTATGACTTAAAATAGTACTGTTGGTAGTAAGAGAAGAAATACAACTGAAAATGTGGTGTTCTTCTATGTAAGTGTTAGATTGTGTGTGGAAAAAAGTGCCAACTGTCAGAAGTAGGATCATGACAATCACTTCCAAATCACGCAAATAACTTCCAAATATTTTGAATGAGGGGGAAAGCTGGTGTCTGGTTCCCGTGACATATTTTTGGTAGAATTTTTCAAAGCTTGTGATGAGGGAACTTGAATTCCTACAGATCCTGTAAAGAGTGTCAGAGTTCTTTGTAATGTTAAACCAAGCTGCCCTGTGCTGTATTGGAAGCGAACAGGTTGAACAGGTCAGTAATGCCCTGCGTTCATGTTTCTCATAAGTAAACATCGCTTTGACAAGCTGCATGTCACCAGAGAGCCTGGTGCACTTGACTAGCGACCCATCACTTTTGTGGCTTGGCAAGTTCTTTGCTTCTCTGTTGGTTGTTTGCCAGGTAACTGCAAAGTTGTTTGGGGATTTTTTGGTGAAAAGCTCTGGGGATTGTGCATTTTTCTTTCCTAAAGGAAGACTTGCATAATTTTTAAACAAGACTAAGATGTGTAGTAAGATTTTATTTTTTTTTTTTTTCTTGAGTGCATCATATGCAAATACCATGGATTTCCTTGCCTTAAGCTAAATCAGATGTTTAGAGTAAAAATTTGTACTTACTTTAAATTATGTCCCGGTTTTCATCTTTATCTGCTTAATTTCAAGAAGATAAATACTGCTATGGTCTTCTCTAGTCAACTTACAGCAGACAACTTCCAGCCATACAGTCCCTAGGTGAAAGAGGTCCTAAATATAAGGGTTATTGGGGAGTATCTGAATGCCACAAAAGAAGTCTAATGCTAAATGTTCTTCAAGTCAAAATGATTGCAGGCATTTTAATGCTGGAATGGGAATATTGTGGCACCTGGCAGTGAAACTAGATTTGTACTAGGAACAATTTCCAGCCATGGCTGTGCTGATAAATGACATTAGGAAGGAATTTGATGAACTTTTCTCACGGAAGGAAGGTAGCTATTGCTCTGTCTCTGTCACAGCACAGTGTGCCTGATGGGGTGAGTGATGCCCCCTTTTAGGGCTGCATGAGAGACACCGGAGCAGAGAGCTGGACAAGTTAGAAATACTAGCAGCCTTGGGTCTTTCACAAGCAGCATGCTGTTGTCTGGCTTTTTTTGTGAGCATCACCCACAATGATGGCACACGGTTTTGACAGGGATCCCATTTTGTCGGCATTGTGTTTTGAATTATTGTAGGGCTGTACTTCTGGAGAAATCTCTGTCTGTTTTTAAAAATTAATTGACTGTAAGTTCCACTTGTGTTTAAGGAACTTCTCAGTTCCCATTGAGCTTGCTTTCTAAGCATGAAAGATGAAAATTCAAAGAAGTTATATAATGAAGAAGAGTAAGGTATTTCAGTCACCAGAGAAGATGACAGAGCTGAAAAGAGAACACATTGAGGAGCCTGAGTGTATGGGAGGTACTGAATAGTGTAAGTATTTATCTTTAGTGTTTGCTATTTTGACATGTGTTTACATTTAATGTACCATTAACATGGAACATTAGATGTAGATTGTGTTTTACAAAGCATTCAAAAGTGGGGTTTTCCCTCCGAACTTGCTCAATGCCAAAGGAAACTGAAGGGTGTCAATGCTTATAATCCCACCCATGAATGCATACCAAGTCTAGCTCACCTCAGTAAAGAGGATCTATTTCACTCTTAAATAAAAGCTTATGTGTCATTCCATGAGACATCTGTAAATCTAACTATGTTTACCCTTGTCCATGCCCAATGTTTTTGTGCCCATAATCTCATTATCAGACTGTTGTCTTGCTTGGTTTGACATTTAGCCATGCATTCTCTTGCATTCTCATTCTGCTTTTCCTGGTGATTGCCTTTCTGTAACTTTGTAAATTACCTATACAAAAGCCAAGTCATGTAACAAAATTTTTATGCTTTTTCTTGGAAAGCAGCAGTTTCTTTCTGTAGTGAGAACAGAAGGTGGGTGGTATCAGTGGTAAAAGTATTGGTGTGGAGTATAACTCCACTGTTGGAATGAGATGCAAGGCTTCAGTA